GGAATGGTGACTAGCATATTTTGACTATAGGGTTTGTTAACCTTTCTTGGCTTTATATACCCCTTTAAGAATTTGATGAAAGCTATAAACTCAATTTCTAGAAATAAAATCACAAATTCATAATCAAAAAGTTTTCCATGCTATTTCTGGGGATTTCCCACTTACAGGTAGCTTAGGAGAGAGAACAGGGAAAAGCAGCCTTGCTGGACACCCCATGAGAAGCTGGTGCCAGTGACTGAGGCTGCAGAAATCCCTTTTCTGGAGGAGAGATTTGTATCTGACTGCACTTGGGAAGAATGATGAAGAGAAATGGAATCAACGGCCAGGGGGTACACATCCAGTAGACTCATCCAGAGATTAAAAGAGCTGAGATATCTTTAGGAATCATTTCTAGCTGACTGGATATGGGCTTCCAACTGATGGGATAGTGGCTAGAAAATGTACCTGGAAAGTGAAACGTACAGCTAAAAAAGTATGCCAGGGCCTTAGTACGGGAGACCTTGACTCCCCCTACCACCAGATTTTATGCTTAATCCAGGAGGTAATGGCAGCATGATGCAGATTTCAGAGGAGAATGAGTGTTCAGAGCTGTAGTTTAGAAAGGTTAATCTGTAGGATTATAGGTGTGTGAGAGGCCGGGCAAAACCAGTTAGGAGTTCATTGCAGTTGATTTTTATATTCTTCAAATAAATTCTATTTGTTCAGTTTCCCCGGTCTGCCCCCACCACCCACTATTTGGCAGACAGCCAGGCCTTGAGTAAGTATTTGGTAGTGCTCGCCTAATTGAAAGCCATAAATTCACTTTGAGGGTCCCCTTGTAATGTCCCTATTCCTCACCAGGTGGCACCATTAGGCATTATCTACAGGGCAGGCTTCCTTCTATAAATAAGCACAGTGCTTCCAAGCAGAAAGGCTGTTTCTGAGGGAATTCACCTTCTGGGGACAGTCTAGAAGTGGGGGGGAAATGGTAGCTGGAATAAAGGATTCAAGAGTCTTCCCTTCTTACTTTTGTATCATTTCTTATTGTAGCAGAGTATCTTGGCCAAATTTCTATTCCCAGGCATGTAGCTGGGGAAAGATGCTTAGGAAAACCTGTCTTTTCAAAGATGCAGTTTTCTGTCTGGCAAGAAGAACAGACTTCAGTCTACTTGGGAATGAACTGTTCCTTGGTCCTTGGAAAACTTCTAGGTGAGCTATGTTGTTATACATATCAAGCAGGGATCATATTCGGTGGTGATAGTGAGGTCACATAAAACTGCATATTTATGTTAGAGGCCAGAGTGCATCTCTTAGAGAAATAACTGTTTCTCTAGAACTAATTTTAGTTGTACCAGGCTAAAGTTGTAGCTTATTTCCACGAAGTTGTGTGTGTTTTCATTTTGAGGTTAAGAGCGAACCCTGAGAGATTTCCCTTAGACTGATGAGAGACAGGAGTGCCAGAAACTGAACGAGCTATGATGAGTCACACGCAGTGCTGTGTTGGCCCCACACATCAAGGGCAGCACAAAGCAGTGGAGGGGACCGCCTCACCTCTGTACCTCGGCAGTGCTCTGGCAAACTCCAAGTGTTAGAAGACTTGGAAGTGATGGGAGACAGGACTCTTAGCACATTCTAATGGGTGTCAGTATAATTTGAATTTGTTGAGTTGGTGGTAAGTAATCAGATTTACGTGAAGATTTCAGTTCAGTGTAGAAAATACTCTGGAGGTCCCAGAAGGCAAGGATGTATTGCCAGTTCAGTCCAGTACCAGCTCAGGCCGAGTCATTCCTTCTCTGGAATTTTTCAAGTTAAAAAGCCTCATTACCCTTTAGCTCAGTGATTCTTACCTTTTCACTTAATTTTTACCGTTAAGAATTAAGTTGAAACAATGGATCTTCTCTCTAGAGAATGTACGTACTTACGTGATTTTGCATTCAATTTCAAGGGGCTATAGCCCCCTGAAGTGCAGTGGTATTCCATCCATGGGTCCAGGGTTAGGAATCTCACCTGAAACTCACTCATCAGGAGCGTTCCAAAGGAGAAATGCAAGACGAGAGTGAGGAATAGCGAGGAAGATGGAGGTGGGAGACCAACCTGTGCTGGATCCTTGTAAGATGCTGGTGCAAGGGCCTGAAGAAAGCTGAAGAATCACTTTTTCTGGGGAGATTTTTATGTATTTGGACTTGGGAGGAATAGCTAGAGAACTTCTAGGAGGCCCTGGGCTAAAGGACTGATACACGTTTAGGACAGTGGGCATAGGAAGGGGAACTGAAATGGAGTCAAGGGTTAAAGGGCTCAATCAGACCTTTCTACAAGATTAAAGGGTTAAGCTGCCTTGGGATTCATGTCAGACTCTGCAGAATCTGAGCTCCTGGGAACAGCAAAGAGGCACAAGAATGGAGTTGTGTTAGGGAATATCTAGGAGCATCGGCTTCTTCCTCTCAAGGAGGAGGTCCAGAAGGCTATCTTCTCAGTGCCATTATTGTATTATCATCACTACACTCTGAGAAGGGTCACTAACCAAAACCCAAACTGCAATTTCTTGTTCTAGCTGAGAAGGTGAAAAGTGACTAAAACTAACATGATTTCCTTTTCAGGACTCTTGGACTCTTGATGGGGGAAATAAGGGATCTCCTTCTCTGATGATCCAAATAATAGAGCAATGAGTGATTCCAATCTAGGGTTCTTTAAGTCAGAGACCTGGGTTTAATTCCTGGTCCTGCCAAGTACTAGCTGTGCGACCTTGAGCAAGTGTTGGAGTCTGTTTCTGAAACTGTTAAGTGGAAATAATAATCGTGCCTACTTCCTATGGTTGGTTGTTGGGAGATAAAATTGGGCACAGTGCCTGGTACACAGTAAGTGCACAATAAATGATAGCTGTCATTGTTGTTATTGGTGCTGAATGCCAGAACTATAACAGGAATCTCTCTCCTAGCCCTCAGAGACATTTCCCCACTAATATACTTTAGCTCTGCTCTCTAGGGCCCCAGCATACATGCCCCAAACACTGCACAACTCAAGGCTTCCTCTGGTCATCCTGTGTGTATGGGCCTGGGCCCCAAGACCTTTTTTGGCCCATAATTACAAGACATTTATGATGAAGAGGCCCATGTCAGCTTGGGAATCTCATCATCCCCCAACTTGACTATCCTGAAGGATAATGGTTCTTTAGATAGGAAAGGAGACTATAAAAAAACAGTTTCTAGAAACTTCCCTAGGTAGTTTTGTTTTCCTAGAAGAGCCAGTCACCATCATCATCCCCTCCCCATCCCAAGAGAACTATAAGAAAACTAGCATTTGCACAAGACTTCCTAGGGGTCTTAGCTATTTTTCTCCCCAACAACTTTTTGTCCCCATTTTACACAGAAACTAAGTCTCAAGCAGGAAACCAAGTTTCAAGCAGTCATTCGGTGTTGGAACAGATTCAAGCCCTGATCTGTCATTCCAGAGCTCTTTCCACCTCTCTGCAGCAACCAACAGCAAGAATACAGACACACACACACATACACACATACGAGCACATACACATGCATACTCATACATACACATGCATATGCACACATGCATGCACACACCCAGCACACCAGCTCATTCTTCTCCCAAATTTTGTTTGGGGCAGCCTTGGGAAATCTCCAATGCCCAAGGGAGCAGACCAGAGCTGATGTCAGTCTAAGCTCCCTGGGGAACACCTTACCAGCATTCTCCACTAGAGGCCTGAGGCAGTTATTGTGGTTTCCTTTGTGATGTGTCACTCTACTCCCAGAGATCCCCGGCAATCCCTCCCAAATAATACCACCTCCTTAACCCTCCCATAGAACAGGTGGCATGCCTGCCATTCCAGGACTCAGATTTGGAAACCATTTCCCAGGGGTCAGGTGCTTCACTGCAAAGAAGTCTCTTGTACATCTTGAGTTCTGGCTACTAAAAACCCTTGTTAGTTTGTTAGTTTGGGAGTCTCAATACATACTCTCTCCTTCCCAAGTCCAGCTTGAGGTCAAGGTCCAGGACAGAAGGGAAAGCAGATAGAGTTGGCATTGTGTGTCCCAACCTGGACAGGGATGGTTAACTCCTTGAAACTGGAGGCAAGGAGAGAGGAGGGAAGCCCTGGTCCATGCAGTGGGCCCAGAAGCCCCACCCTGACATGCCCCTAGTACCAGTCAGCAAGGAGGGGAGATGACGCCTCTTTATTAAGGTTCACACCAAGGAAAGCATTGAGAAGGAATACAAAGAGGAGGAGAAAGGGCACACAGAGTCACCACTTGAGGTGGGAGGCACATCATTTAAGAACCTCAGGACAGCCACATGCTCCATGCCCTGGTTGTGGGGGGAAAGAAGAAAAGAGAGGAGAAAGTGCCATGATAGCCTGGGGCTCACAACAGGGTCTGAAGCCCCCTGAACCTAACACGAGAGCCACAAGCCCTGCCCCTCAGGGCTCACACACTACTACACAAGTCGACACACATAACACACACAGGACATTATGGAGGCAACGGGCAGGGACATATTGACAGAAAAAGGAACTGAAGTTAAGCAGGTGTAGCCAATAGAGAGACAGTTTTTGGCTGCGGCCCCAAGAGTCCCTCAAACGTCCCCTAAATCTGGGCTGTTGCTGAGCACCCCCAAGTCTCTGCCTGTGAACTGGGCTCTTTGTTCTCTAAGCCCCAGTGAGTGGATAAAGCAATCCCAGGTGAAGTCAGTGACAAGGCAGGATCCGCTCTGCATGCAAAATCCTAGAGGTTGAGCTATATTGTCTTCATGCACATTCACAGCCAGCTCCTCCCAGCCCAGGGGCCCTTGAACCCCATTCACCCAGATTCCTAGGGCTGCAGTTCCCTCCTCAAGCTTCCTTTACCAATCAGCAGCCGCAGAGATCTGTGAGGGGGAGAGGCTTCTGCAGAGCGCTGAATATCTTGGATTTCAGCAGAAGGGTAAATTTTCTGTTGCCAGAACAGAATACCCCCAATTCCTTAATTCCTAGGTAAATCGTTAAGAGATTATTTGCCATAGTCCTAGATAAGTCCTTTTTCAGAATAGAAAAAGCAGGATTTTATTTACACAATTCAGGGGTTCTCCTGTTGACGGGGGAGGGGGAAAGGGCAGGGTAGGGGATGGATGGGAGTCCAGAGGTGGGGCGCTTCCTCTCCCGGAACCTCACCTTTCGCAGTTTGCTACATCTCGCTTGGTTAGGCAGAAAGAATTCTTGATGCTCCCAAAGTCCTTCACCCTATAATCCTTCCTTGAGGGAGTCTCTCTCTGCCTGACCCACAAGAGCAGCGGTCGGAGTAAAGCACGCTGCACAGCGCAGTTCAGTCCCCTCCGTCATGCACTCGGAAACCCAAAGCCAGCCCAGGAAAGTAGCGCCCCCTCCGAGTCCCCTCACAAAGAGGCCTCGCCCTCCAGCTGCAGCAGGGTGATGTCGGGCAGATCGAGGGGCTCCACAAGTGGCCCGTCCCCCACAAGGAGACCAGCAGAGGGGCTCTCGGGGCGCTCACAGTGACTAGTGGGTGTGGCGGACCTGGGCATCTCCTTCTCTTCTTCGTCGTCGTCCTCCTCGTCCTCAGGATCGCGACCCAGTAAACCGCCGTCCCCGATCCCAGGCGAAGGGGTTTCCGTCTCTTGGGGGACCCCCGGGAAGCTCCCCTTGCCGCCGACCACGCCCAGGCCGCCCTGGCGGGGCGCGATGGTCATAATCCGGCACATGGAGACGATGGCCCGCTGGTTGGCGCACACGTCGTCCGAGAGCACCTGGATGTGAGAGGCCTGCTCGTCCAGGGCCCCCCGCATGGCTCTCACGTCCTCAAACAGGGCCTGCAGCTGGGCCTTCAGGTGCTCCATCAGTTCCTTCATGCCGCCGTTGTACTCCCCGGAGATCACGTCCCCCACGGCCGGCACGGTGGACACCTCCAGAGGTGCCGGCATTTCGCCGCCGTCCTTGGTCATGATCTCCAGCAGACCGTCCTCCATTGAATGGCAGAAACGGGCGGCGGCGGCTGTGGGTCCGGTCCAGCCCGGCGTCCCGGGTGGGGGAGGGGGTGGGGAGGGGAAGAGGTCCTCAAAGGGGCGAGGAGGAGCCGAGGGAAGAGGAGGCTCCCGAGAGGGGCGGGGAGCCGGCGTGAGGAGTCGAGTCCCGGGGGAAGGGCACGGGCTGGATGGGCGGAGGCCGGGAAGCGCCGGCGGGACGAGCACCCGGCGAGAGTCCCAGGGCCAGCGTCTCTCCGACTCGCCCCAGGACGAAAGCGCCCTGCCCTCCTCGCCTCCTGAATTGCGCCTGTGTCAGCACCGCCCTCCGGCCGCCAGAGCAGCAAGTGCCGGCCGGTTCCCTGAGTCACAAAAGCGCTCGCGGAGGGGCCCGGGTGGAGGCTGAGACCAGCAGCGGGTCCGCCTCGGGACTCCCCCAGCCATCAACGGGCAGCGCCCGTGAGTGTGGTCGGAGCGGCAGGGGCGGGTCTCCCAGCCGCGCCGCGGATGCTCCTCTGTTTCCAAGGCGACGCACAGCACGTAAATGACGTGTGTCTCCATAGCAACCAGGAAGTAGAGAAAAGGGAGGATGATCTGGAAGCTGCAGTGGGGTTCTGGAGTCTGAGCTGACGGGTGGGGCGGGCGGGGAGGGGACGCTGCAGTGACCTCAGCTGAGGCTGGAAAGAGCGTGTGGCTGCAGTATTTAATAGGGAAGCATGAGAGAGCAGTTTGCTGCATAAACCCTCAGGTCTGGGAGAGATCGTCCCTCCACCAGGCTGGAAGTATCCTGAATAAACCCTGAAGTGACTGCCTTGGAAGGATTTTCACCCGCCTGCAATCCTTTTTCAGAAGAGGGCGCTACAGCCGGGTCCTGCTTCTCTGTCCTCCAGCCGTCCGCAGGAGAGCAGAGAGGGTAGAGAGGCCGACGCTAATAATCCCAGACTTGAGCTGGGGCACAGTGGCGCCCTGGAGCCGGCCCCGCCCGGCGCTGGCGATGCAGAGGCCCGGGAGGGCACTACGGAGGTTTCCCCTCTCCCTTCGGCTTCTGCAGTAAATCAGCCCCCTCACTGTAGATGGCACAGGAGCTGAGAAGGGATGGGATTCCCTCCCGTATGAGACCCAACCGCTCCTACCCGGGGCTCTGGGAGTTTTTCCAGGATGGCAAGGCAAAGTACTTAAATTTTGAGAACGAAAGCTCTATACAGGCAGAGATTTTTGGCTCCTCTGCGCCCTCCATCACGGAATCCCCTGCACCTAAAATAGTGCCTGGCGCGTAGTAAGTACGTAAATGCTCAATACATTTGTTGAATGAATACTTTTAACAAGAACCATTGTATCCCATTCCTTCATCTAGAACTGTCCACCTACACGTAGTGGATTTTAGGAGACGTGAATTCAGTTTTGTTTCTGCCACTTATTAATTCAGAGACCTTGAATAAATCGTTTTCCTGATGTGTTAGGGGATTGGACTGGATAATCTATTATTATTATTTCTAACCCTGAATTACACTCTGCATCAGCTAACAGGTGAAAGGGGATGGATGCGATGGATGAGGGCGGGGGGACTGTGTGTGAGGGTAATTCCCCCTCCGCAGGCCCAGTGCCCGTGTACAGACTGCGTACACTGATGTCTCAGCCTTTGTGACGACTCCTTTCCCTATTTGAGGGATGGAGCGGGAGGAGAGAAGGAGGAAGAAAAATAGAGTTTAATATATTCACAGATGACTTCAGATTAAGAAACAAACAGCACCTGGGCAGCAGTATACTAACTAATAATGACTTTAATTAATTGGAGACACCAAGTGGTCAGAAAGCAAAAGTGAAATTCACAAGAGCAAATCTGAAGAGGAGAAACAAACCATATTACTTCAAGATGAGCAAAAGCTAGGTATGGGTGAGTGTTTTGAATACTAGTGGTTCAACCATAGCAAATGATTTACCTTGGGGTTTCCCTGGTTGCATACTCTAGTGCTGAAGAGTGGGGATGGCCCAGAGAAACTTTTGTGGCACTAAAGAACTGTTTGGCCTATGCCTGTCTTGCTGCTATTGAAATAGAAATGAGTGGGGAAATGGTCTAAACAGCAGAATGTTTAATCTAAGGCCTTGCTGATATAATAAAGTATTATGTAGCCATTAGAAATTTGATTTCCCAAAACAAATATATGAACAAATTAAAAACCCAGAGTATTGAATTTTCTAAAACAAATGGTTCGGTGCTGTTTTCTTGCTCCTTCCTCCCTTCGTTCCACAAACTTGAGGTGCTCTCACCTTAGTTAATGCTCCTGCCTCCACTGTGTGCCCCACAGGTTATTCCTGAAGTTCAGGAGAAGACAGAAATGCTTTTCGTTGATTTTCCTAAGCACAGCCAAAGTGGGCTGGTATTTACAAAAAGCCTTTACCAAAAAACTATAGGAAAACTAGAAACAGAGACAAGATGCAAAAAAACAGCTGAGCTTACACAGCACAAGTTTCTGATCCTACTACAGCAAGGGTGTTCTCAGCACTTACAGGTTCAACCCTCCGTTCATCCTTCCTAGGAGAGCTCTGTTGCAGCCAGAAAAGACTGGCATGACTTTCATTTTTTTTTGTCTGGGTCTGTTACTTCACATCTCTTGACCAGCACTTCACATGGATGATTTCATCTTGCCAGCTCTTTCACCCTTCAGGTGGGTCCCTGCCTTCTACCTACAAGAAATGATCCTGTCCCCAGTATAAGGCCTCCCATTTTAGCCTTAGCCATACATTAAACATAGCCCCCAGACCGTAGGAGCTGAGTTATGCCATCATACAAGGCCCTTTGCCACTATTGTTGAGGATACCATGTATGTCAAGGCTTTCAGCATAGGATTACATCATGCTGCCCAGAGGCACTGGCATGAAGTCTGCTGAGAGTACAGGGAGTCTGAGCCTAGAGGGAGGGGGAAGCATTGGAGAAGGATGAAAGAACATAGGAAACAGGTGCAGAGATCAAGGGGTGTGGCTGATCCCATCAAGTTCCAGGTCAGACATTTGAGAGCCAAGAGTGGGTGAGAACTGGGGGAGTGGACTAGTAGCAGAACTTGAAAATATAAGGAGGAGATTATTGGTGCTTTAGATTCAGAACCAGATCATTTTAGGAATGCTGTATGGAAAATGAGACAAGGGAAAATGGGAGAAAGGTCTAGTCTCAGTAAATAAGGGGGACAGATGCAGAGTGTGAAGCAGAGCCTCAGAAGCTGGCTGGGTTACAGGGCTGGGCCCTCTGGATGCCAATGCCCTAGGATTTGTTGGGTGGGTCTATTCCCAAGCAAAAGGGGGCTAAATTGGTACTCTGGCCATGTCACTAGAGTATTCACACATAGCAAGTATGCCACATAACAAGAAAAATAAGCCGTCATGTTCCTTTTCTGCTCTTTGCCTTCCTGTTTTCCTCTGGGCATCAGCTTAGCTATTACGTTCCTTTATCCTAGTCTCATCAGCCAATGGGAGGAAGAGATGCCAAGCTGCATAGATATAGGTCTCTGTCAGGTACATCTAGTTCCAAACATCTCATTCTCACTAAAGTTGTGATTCTTAGCAGTCTTTGTCATTTTCCTCTATCTTGTGTTTATCTTGTGTCCAGTCTCTACTTTATATAGCTGGTGTACTTTTTTGCCCTATAAATGTAACAGTCGTGATGAAGACGTTCACTTGACTTAGATCCAGAATGATGATCAAAATCAAGGAGCAGCTGACTGCTGCACCTTAGGGTCACAATCCTAGACAATACTCCCCAAATGTAAATTTATGAAGCTGAGCTGCCTTGTGGCCCACCTCAGCATGATATCACATTCAAAAGAAACACATCCAATCACCAAAAAGAATTAAAAAGCAATTCAGATTTTTATTGTAGCCTCTGGTAAAACTCTTAAGGGATTTAGATTCTTAGCACGGTGCAAAACATCTTAAACTTCTCTTCCCTCCTTCTCTATTGACCTCACACCTTATGGCATAGCTATGGCTGCCATTCTGTCTCCTTTCTCCCCAAATACCCCCAAACTTTCTCTCAAGCCTGGCCCTTGCTTTTTTGCTCCCCCATACCCTTCACCTCCTGGATATTTTCTTTTCCTCTTCTGCTAGAAGAAGCTCCTTGTCCTTGTTTCAGCTCCTTTGCTTCTGTCCTTCATTCCCCTGATTTGCACAGGGACCAGAACAATGACAGGGGTCTCCTTCTTAGAGGATAAGAAAGGCTGAGAGGCTGAGAATATTCTATTGTTGTGGGACTTGTCTGTCACATAGACTAAATTTTCTCAGCATGAGAGAGTGGTTTGCCTGGTGTTACAGCCAACCTGGTTTGCCCATCTACTCCACACTTGTACAGAAACGGGCATGGTAGTTTGCAAGGACTCTCAGCCCTTGGGAGCCTCTGACTGAAGATGGGTTCCAACTGTCCACACTCTCAACAGTCTTTAGTGTCACACACATGGCCATGTGGTGAGCCACACACACACACCTCAGATAAGACCTGAACTGGACTTTCAGTTGCTAGCTCTTTGCCCTCAAACTATTTTTAGGAGTCTTAAAGGCCACCCCTCCCCTGTTTCTTTCTCTTCCATATTAACTTTACTCAGAGCAAGAATTCCAGAGGACCTTCCAACTTCTCACACAGTCTGAATTTCCACTGACAATAACCCGTCATTCCAATTAAACTTGTTTTGCTGGTGTTCACCCTCTCACCCCTTTCTGTATTGCCCACTGCAACAGCCTTTCTTATGTCAACACTTGCAGAGGCCTTTTCCCTGCCTGAGTGCATCTTCACTCGTCTATCCTGCGCCAGTCCTAGTGTTTCTGGGTAGGTGGCCACAGACACAGGCATTCGGAGCTCTGGAGCTACCCATGACCTCTGAGGTACAGGGCCTTATGTACCCTCCATCCGTTCCTTATATTTTCTCCCCCCAGGAAATTGCCAACAGCTCAGGGTCTGGTGTGGCCCCAAGTCATAGTCCTCCTCAGGCATTGATAATGCTGTACCACCTGAGAACACTCACAATTTCTGGCATCATGGGGCAATTTTGCTAGACAAATTGCTTCTCCCAAAGTATCAGTTGAGTTTGGAGGAAATTATGTCCAAGTATGTGGGCACGGTATGGACTGTGGTATGTCTACCACAGACTTCCCTTCCATTTAAAAGAGTGTTTCTCAATACTGACTTATGCAAACTTCCAGGCCCCTTCTCACTTGTCATATCTTGAGGAAGTCTGTGGTATTCTGTTGTAGATGATTCAAACAGAATTTTGTAGGTCTCACTCTTACTAATACATGAGTTACACGCTCTCCATACCTCTCAGAGGCCCTAAAAATACTATCAAAAATGGTTTCTACCACTTCCCTTTTGCTACAAGGTGGTATCCCAAGGACCAGCAAGGCACTGTCAACTGCAGTTTAGCAGCCACTGTGAGGGTGCACTCTGGTTCTAGTCAACACACACAAATGGGGAGTATACTAGTATTTATGATGGTATCATGAATAGGGCCCCCAAAATGTAACCCACATCTTCAAAGTACCGGTAACAG